TACATTTTATTGGCCAAGCCAAGTCATATTACCAAGTCTAACATAAATGGAATGGAAAATAGCTTTTTTTCTCTTGAACAGTAATGCCAATGTCCCTGATAGAGTATGTTTTGTTAATCTGGGTCCCAAAGTGAAGACGATACAAAGAGAATCTGCAGTGTACCATAGTTATGGAGTATGAATGGGGAATAAAACTGTGTCATGAACTTTTGAGATTTAATGTGTCTGGCACATAGTAAGGGCTCCAGGTATCAGCTATTATTATCATTATTAGTATTATTATTGTTTTATATTCTTCATTGTAATAACCCATATCACTCATGTTTATTCCCAAGTACACATTATATTATTGGCACAAGTGCCACATTTTCTGATTGGTATCTACTACATTACTCAGCATAGCAACTTATGCACATATCACAGCAATTGCAATGTAGGTAAGTTAAAGTAATGATATATGTATACCATGGAGTATTATACAGCTATAAGAAACAATGCTGGTATAGCACCTCTTGTATTTTCCTGGATAGAGCTGGAACCCATTCTACTTATTGCCCCACTCATACTCCATAACTATGGTACACTGCAGATTCTCTTTGTATCGTCTTCACTTTGGGACCCAGATTAACAAAACATACTCTATCAGGGACATTGGCATTACTGTTCAAAGAAAAAAGGCTATTTTCCATTCCATTTATGTTAGACTTGTTAATATGACTGGCTTGGCCATAAAATGTAGGTGACTTTTTAAATTTTTATTTTATTTTATTAAGGGGTACAAGTGTTTTATTACATGGATATCTTGTATAATGCTTAAGTCAGACTTTTGGTGTGCCCATCACCAGAATAGTGTTCATTGTACTCAAGGTAAATTTTTATCCTATTCTCACCTTCTCACCCTCCCCCTTGTTGTTTTGTTGTCTTTATATTGCTTTGTGCCATGTGTATCCACCTATTAGCTCCCATTTATTAGCAAGAACATATGGTATTTGTTTTTCCATTCCTGAGATACTTCACTTAGGATAATGTTCTCAGTTCCCTCCACATTGTTGTAAATGAATATTATTTCATTCCTTTATATGGCTAGCAGTACTCCATGGTGTGTGTGTGTGTTATAACATATACATGTGTGTAATAACATGTGTCTATATACATATATACACAACACACACCACATTTTCTTTATCCACTCATGAATGATGTGTACTTGGATGGATTCCACATCTTTGCCATTGTGAATTGTGCTGTGAGGAACATTGACTGCAAATCTTTTTGATAAATGACTTCATTCCTTTGGGTGGATTCCCAGCAGTGGGATTGTGAACCAAATGGTAGGTCTAATTTATTTCTTTAAGGAATCTTCATCCAGTTTTCCACAGAGGTTGGACTAATTTGGAGTTCCATCAAAAGTGTCTAAGTGTTGCCATCTCTCTGCATCCATCACAACATCTGTTGTTTTCTGACTTTTTAATAATGGCATATGTTAGGGTAAGGTGGTATCTTATGGCAGTTTTAATTTGCATTTCCCTGATGACTTATGAT